TTGTAGATCTCTCACTTAGTTGTGCCCCACACATAATAATCAAGGGGGTTGCAGTGAGTTAGGCAGTGTAAGGGGTGACATGGTTGCAGAAATTGTCTGACAGCCATGACTGGGTTCTCCTGCTTGTGTGGCATGATGCAGAGTCCCGTTACCAGCGTCTTCCATCTGCCACCTTCCTGACCCAGGGCAGCACTATCTCCTCAAGGCACTTGATGTAGGTCTCTGTGTTGAGTCTGAGGCCCTGTGGGAAGATGAATGGAGGCAGAATGCTGACATCACTAGTGATCACTCCAAACACCATGTTGACTGGATATATCATCCAACTTTCTGAATTCTCTGCACTGTCCTCAGATTAACACCCAAACACTCTGAAATGTTTGTATTAGAGCTTCCAGCATGAATGCCAAGCACTACAGCATGCCATTTCCAAATTTCTAGCAGAGTGAATTGCATCATGGTGCTCTTTTTCTCACAGACTATGCCCAACTGACCCTACTATACTATGCAGTCAATAAAATAAAAAACAATGCACAAATTAAAAATATAATATAGCAACAATTTACCCATCTCACCTATTTATATAATTCTGTCACTTTAAGTCTTCTCTTCATCTCTGAGGAGATTGTCTAAAGTTCACAGCCAGTTATTTTTTATATAGATAATTATTTTTTATATAAAAATTGATATAATTATATATAAAGCTAAATTGATTATAAATTTGATACATATCAGCTGCTGATTTTCATATTAGAAAAAAATTATGCTTTCTTAATTTTTGAAGAAATTCTTTTTCCCACAGTCAGCAAATATGTTTTTCTGAATTAAAGATATTTGAAAAGTTTTGTTAAATACTTAGTTTTAAGGAAAATAGGAACAAAAAGGATGCTTTAGAATAAAAAAAAAATATTTTGTTCCATTTCATCTTGGCTTGTACTGACCTGACCTTAGATTTTAATACTACAGGACCTTCATTTTCATGTATTATAGGTTTCTCATTTCTATTGCCATGGAAGAAATCTTCAATGTGCTTGTTCCATCTTTGATCTATATAGTACCTTTCTATTTTTCCATTATGAATTTCTTTTTGTAGATTAAATGCATACTGCCAAAGAACACTTTTTCGGTTCTGTTATGTCTTTTATCTTTTTATGCATGCCTTCTTATGTCTGGGTTCTGCAGTTATTTTAATTTCCATACAATTTTAATTGAGCCATATCTTCTTTTCTTTACTGGCAAATTTTGCTAATATTTTTTACTTCAGTCAGTTGAGTGCCACACGTGATACACACTTGGATGAGCATGTATCTTTCAATACATGACTAACGAGGCAGAAGATTTTTTCCACATTAGGTTGCCATTTTTTTCTGCAATAGACTGGTTGCCAACCAAGGCTAAAAAACCTAGTCTGTCCTGCTATTTAACCCATAGCTGGGGGAGAAGAGATGGATTCATATCTTTACCAAGGATATTTGTGTGTAAGTGAATATATGATAGGAGTGAAAGAGAATGAAAATTGCAGTGTTAGCTTTGTTGATGACATATATTTAGTGATAAAAGATATATTATCTGAGAGTGATTGTACAGGGTTTTCCAGAAATCACCTAAGGATTGAAAAATCTAATAATTTCAACATTTTTTATTATTCATAGTTTTATGCAGGATGAAAATTCAAACATTATATATTTCCATTTAATTATGTTATCCTGGGTATAACGATAAACTGCATCCAGCAGCAAGGCCTCTATTGGGAGAGTGGAGATTTTGAGGAGTGTGGAACCATCTCTTAATTGCTGTTGTTCCCAGGTCCACCCTGACCTGGGGTGGTAGCACATGTTAGTAAATAGGGAACCCCCTAACAAAGACAAAACTATGAAAGTATAAAAATACCTATTTATAGTAGTTATCAACAATACATTTAATCTGTAGTTGAAGGCATACAATTGCATTCAAAATATACTTAATTGAAGCCATAAAATTGTGTTCAAAATATTTAGATTTTGGCATTAAATAACCCAGAGAGGTATTGATATGCTGCTAAACAAAATCAACCAACTAACAAAACATATTTATAGTAAAATAACCAACAATACATTTTATCTGTAGTTGAAGGCATACAATTACATTAAAAATATTTAGATTTTGGCATTAAATAACCAAAAGATGGTGAAAAATCAACTACAACCATTTAATTATGAATAAATATCCAATGTTTTTGGTGGTGTAGGTAATGGTTTCACCAGTTACTACTACGCAGTAATTACTTATTTAAGATATTGCATACTGAGAAAGACAATATTCAAAAAATGAAAAATTGGAGCTGATCTCAACAATAACATTGACAATAACAAATGCCAGCTGATATGTTTAGAGACAGAATGCACACATTATTGAAACCGATTTGTTGTCAACAGTAAATGAAGGAATAATGTACATTGATTTTGGAAAGTATAAGATCGTGTGTCTGTAATACAGCTCACTGTTCAAGAAAAAACATACGAATGTCAAACAGAATGGATCCAGAATGCCCAGCTAACAAAGCCATGGAGTTTTACTTTGAAAAGACTGACTTCAAAAAGTTTAGAGGTCATCCAAGAACCGCCATAGTCACAATGCTGAACTGAGACATTCAAAGAACAAGGCAGAAAGATCCTACTTTTCCTTTGGAAAGGTTTACAATCAAGGAAGATCTGCAATGAATCCGCAGACTCACAGAGGACAGAGAAGGCTGGCAAAATATTGTCGAATCAGTATATAATGTCAGGGAAGATGAGAGAACATGTTAATTCCTGACCTCAAATCGAAACAGTTTTGATGATGATGATGATACAATGTAAATATCCTTTATTTCTGACTTTCTGAGACATGCTCTTTTAATGACATTCTCTGTAACAATGGTTAATAACGCTGGCTGCAACCCTGAATTTTCTGCACATATATTATCCATGAATTACTAAACTGTATGCAGTCTATTGATATATCCACACTACTTAAGATATCCACCCTAAAATAATCAAGAGGTGTCGGGTCAGAAAAATGTGGTAACTATAAAATTTTGTAATTTCATAAAATTAGATGGATTGGTTAAATCTATATAATAAATGCGAATGTCAGTGTATCACTGTGACAATTTTTTTTTCAACTTTACTCCTAGAGGCCATAGCCCAACATATCATACCATTTTGGAATCAGGCCAACTCTGTGATCCAGACTCACAATCCTTAAATTTTGGATTCCCAAGTTTTCATTACTGTGATTGTTTTGGGATTCTTTCAATAGCTCATGTTCAAATAAAAAAAATTACTGTTCTCAAATTAGAAAATAAAATTGTCCATGTTTTCAACTTTACTCCTAGAGGCCATAGCCTAACATATCATATCATTTTGGATTCAGACCAACTCTGTCATCCAGACTTGCAATCCTTAAATTTTGGATTCCCAAGTTTTCATGACTGTGATTGTTTTTGTTTTTTTTTATGTGAATTTTTATGATAAGTCATCCATAAAATAATAATAATTGCTTGTATGAAAAGTAAGGGCCAACATACATCAAATTGTGTTTAAATTAAGTGGTAGCAGAAGAATTATCATTGAATTTTTAAAATGTATGCTTAAATATTAATGCAATACTTAAATGCAGTGATTTATTTTGAATTCTTCTGTAGTTTATTGTTGCCTGTCACATCAAATCCTCCCTATCTACTGTGATAAAAGCTCAATTAAGTGCACTCCAAAGGAGCTAGCTTAAATGCTTCCTGATAGGGCAGCTTTTAAGCTAGTCCCAAATAAAATGGTTCTGTGTTCAGTCGTGGTAATCATAAAATTTTGTAAAATTGGTTAGGTTGGTTAAATTCAAAATAAAATTCTATGATTTTCATTTTTATTCAGCTATGATTTTTTCTGTGAGTAATTTCTCTGTGTTAATGTAAGTTCTGAAAGAAAAAGATATAAAAAAGCATGAAAAATCTTATATTTTATGACATTTTGAAATACTTCAGTCATTTTTGGGACACCCTGTATAATGACAGTACTGTGGATGCGTGTGTGTTTTATCAAATAGGAGATAGGAATAAGACTACAAATAATATTGTACATTTAACAACAATATTTTATTGCTTACCTAAATAGAAAGTCTACAAAAGGAGGTAAAATAAGATGTGTATATTGAAATCTCGTTATTCATTTACAGTGTGTGTTAAGTCCTATTAACAACGTTGAGAGATTTACATTGTAGAAGTGTTTCTTGTCGTTATCAGCGTATGTTATGTTGTGTACAATGTGACATGTTGTTTGCTAAGAAGTCTTGTAAAGAGGAAGCATCCTGTGGACAAAGACAGAGAGAGTTTGTGCTCTTTTCTTTTATACAACCTTTTGACACTACCATCTAGAAGTTACTAGCAGAATTTCCCTGGCAGACAAGTGGGGTAATCTTCTAATGGTGAGACAGAATATAACTCTCTGTGTTCCATGACATATAACGCTAAAAGATATGTATTAAAAATAACTGGCTTCAAAGATATAAGCACTTTGAAATTGGTATGAAGTTTAATCCATTGTGCTTGTAAAAGTTAATAAATCAAATTAGCATTAGGCAAGGGTTCTATATTGTGAGATTTGGCCATCATATTTATTGTGACATAATGGCCTTCAGCTATGTTTAGAGCAAAGATAGTCAAATGGGCCTTAAATTATTTTATCTGGGCTGGTTTTATGACTGCATAGGCAGTAATCTCTACAAATATGATCCTCACAGCAGTTACCCAGTGACTGAAAGGAAATAGAGAAAATAATTAAATGAAAAACTTTTGGGAGCAAGTGCCACTTGGCCGGAAGTTTTTTTTGTAGGCTTATATAATCAGTTACAGAAATGAGGCTAGTTCCACTCTGTTTTCTTGTCAGTGTTGATTCTAAAACATTTGTTGTACAAAAGGTACTTTTTTGGCTTGTTTACCTCTCTTCTTTTCTTTCTCAGCAGTTGATTGAAAAATATTTTCTTAATTTCAGATTCGAGGTGACAGCACTTTGTGTTTATATAAGACATTACCAGAAATCTCAATGAAGGCAGCTGAAATGCAGAAAGTCTTTGATAAGATAGATCAACTTGAGGTAAATAGTACACACACACACACAGGCCTTATAGTCCAAAAAATTAAAGCCATCCTCTTGATTTAATAATTAATAAGTTTGAATGTTGAATCTATTTAACCCTTTAGTGCATTGCATCCAATTTTTTAGAGCTTAAAATTTAAAATCTGCTAATCATAAGAAAGATTACCTTCAACCAATAAAGGTTGGTCAAAAACAGCTAAACCTTTGTACAGTAATGGGTTAATTTCAAAATCCCTCCATCAACCTATTTGGAAGCACAACCCAAATTATTAATCAAATGAAGCCCAATTGCTGACTCACAAACTGAGTCAAGCGATTACTGTAACTCATTAATACCTGCTTATATATATATATATATATATATATATACACAAGTATATAATTGGTGTATACGGAATGAATTCCAATAACCAACACTTTTTTTGTGTATATATATATATCTAAATATGTCTGGATGCTTATGTATTATAATCTGATTGTGTTTGTGTTGCTTTACGCGTGAGTTTACGACCCCATTCGCACACTTGGGATTAAAATGTATACATATATATTGTCAGAGGACCATATGAAGTAACGTCTATTCTAACGTAATTTCAACAAAGAAATAAATTGAATAACATATGTATTTCCCCTTTTCTCCTCAGTAATTTTATAATTTTAAACTTAATAGTGATTAAATTTGGATTTTAAAATTGGCAGTTTTTAATTTTAATATCAAATTCTATCATATAATTTAATAATTATTGGTTAGAATAAATTCTTTTTTTAATATTACCCATATTTTAACGATCTGAATAGCCATTATAACATGACTTCATTGTCAGGCTTTTTGAATTTTCATATACTTGTATTTTGATTGGTCATTCTAGCTTTTGGAACAACGTTTTCCCCTTGTGAAGGATCGTTAACTAATTTGAAACTTTTAAAACCATTTGTTTTACATTCAACATCATCACTTGATACGACACTGGGAGTGTTGAAACAAAATAGCTATTTTTGTAGTGATTTTATAACATGTTTATGTTATAAATTTTTTAAATAAATATAATATATATATATATATATATATATATATATATATATATATATATATGCTAACATGCTAATACCCTGGGGAAAGGTAGAATTCTCTTCTCCCTCCCCAATGAATAAATAGCAGGACAGGAGAAGGACAACTCTGAATTCAAAACCTGCAGAGTGTTGTTTTTTGGGACCTTGTAGCATGTAGTGCAACAGGTCTCTGTATTTGGCCCTTCAAAAAAAAGTGTGATTGGTTCTGCACAAAGCCTTTACCACTATAATCAAATCATATGTACTGGTGTCTGGCTGTTGGTTCCTAAAAACTGAGCTGCTTGACCCTCATATGTCGAATATGACAGGGGAGTCCATCATATATATATATATATATATATATATATATATATATATATATATATAATATCTGCAGTTTAACCGAAAAAACAATTTTTTTTCAGTTTCATCTTCACACCATGAAACTGCATCAAAATTTTTACTTAAACTTAACAATTTGGGTTTCATTTTTATCACTACTGGGTGACCATATCCAAAGAAACACTATTGAAAAAGACTTTCAGATGTTAATAAAATTAAATTTTATCAGCATTTATATCATTGTATGAGAAAAAGATTGAACAAAAATATGTTAAAAACATTTGATTGACATTTAATTTAGTTTTAGGAAATAAATGTGAAATCAAATCTATTTGTTTACAAAAAAAAAAAAGAAAATACGACATGATGTCTGGAAGTGAAAAATCTATTTCAGTTTTCAAAAAAACACTTTTTGCAGTAAAATTAACTTAACAGCAAAATAGCGAGTAAAAAAAAAAAAAAAAAAAAAAATTGATGCCAGTTTCATCTTGATGTTAAATTTTATGAAGTCGGGTTTTTTGTAAGGGTTTTCTAGTAAGCCCTTATGCCAATCATGAAATAAAGTTGTTGTAAACAAGAAAAATGAATGAAGATTTTTTTTATAGATAAATTTGTTTTTTTTTATCTAGAGAATGTACCTAAATTAGATATGAAGAATAATTAAAATAGTTCTTAATTTCACTTTTAAGATGTGTATTTTTCCAGATATGTGAGTCTCTATTTTCTACAAATAAAATTATGTTTCTATCTAGCGAATACACGTAAAATTAGATATTAAAAAAATAAAGTAAGTTTTAATCTCATTTTTAAAATGTGTATACTTTCAAAACTGCACCCAATTTTTAAACCCAAAGTAAAAATTATTCTTTTTTTTTTTCTTTTTTTTTTAGCCACTAGTGTTCAGTGGGTGTTTGTTACTGTTCTGCCTACAAAAATTCTTCTTAACAAGGAAAATTAATTCATTTTATTTTTACAAATATCTTTATGGTTTTATCTGGTGAATAATACACTTAAGTAAGATTATAATAATTAAAATGATTAAAATAGTTTTTAATTTCAGTTTTAAAATGTGTAACTAAAAAAGAACAGGTGACATTCACAGATTTGGAAATCTACACATTCTAAAAATGAAATTAAAAGCTTTTAATTATTTTTAATATTTAATTTTAGGTATTTGCTATATAAAAACATAAATTTATTTAGGGGAAAAATAACTCATTGATTTTCCTTGTTTAGAAGAAATTTATTTGCAAAACCACAAAAATAGTTGACTGGTGTACCAGAAAAGAATTTTTTTTCTTTTTTTTTTTGCTTACTTTATAATTTTTGAAGGAATTCGCTTCCTTCGGTCAAAGTGGAAATGAATATCTTCCTGGTTGTAGTTTAAGTTGTTTTCTAATTCAGTGTACAATTTCAAGAATATTGATAAAGATTGGTCACTTTGATTTTGCGAAACAAAGTAACGTGTAAAATTTAGTTTTGAAAAAAAAAAATCATTTTGCATTTTCGGCTGATTTTAACTCACTGTAAAAAAATAATTCAATGAATAAAAGCACATACAAATTACATATTTAGAAAGATTATTTTATTTTCTTTCCAGCCATATGAGTATCTTAAAGATTGGACCAGAAATACACAAGATATTGCGAGTTGAATGGACTAAGTTGCAAATTTAACAATCTCAAACAAAATCAGATATTGATTGGAAATGTTTGCACAAGAAAATGAATTGCTTCCTTAGAAAGCAAAAATACTAAATTAAAAACCGAAAAACCAAATTGAAAACCGCGTTTCAAGGAAAACAAAACCGGAAGCCGATACCGAAAGATAAATTGCCAAACTGACCAACTCTAATATATATATATATATATATATATATATGTACTAACTAGAAAAAAACAGGAAAAGAAAAATCATTTGGTATGCCCCTCCATTCAACCAAATGGTTAGTATTAAACTAGGACAGAAATTCCAAGCTTTAATTGAAAAACACTTTCCTACCAATAGTAGACTTAGTAAAATATTTAATAAAAACACCCTAAAATTAAGTTACAGCTGCACTGAAAATCTAGAAAGTATAATAAAAAAACACAATAATAAAATCCTGAACAAACCCCCATGCTTGAATAGTATTAATAAAAACCCTACACTTAAATTAGACAAAAATAGTGAAAAATTATGTGATTGTAGAAACCCAGAAGACTGCCCATTGGAAAATAAATGCCACGTAAAATCTGTGGTATACCAATGTACTATCTCATCCATTAAGAGTCCTAATATTAATATGATATACATTGGGTCTACAAAGAATGAATTTAAAACCAGATGGAGGCAGCATAAGTGCTCTTTCAACAATATAAATAAAAGAAATCAGACTTTATCTAAATATTTTTGGCATTTGAAGGAAATGAATAAAAGACCAAAAGTAAAATGGAAAATTATAAACAAAACTAGAACTTGTAAAACTTGGGATGACCCATGCTCTCTATGCCTACATGAAAAACTACACATTATTAAGTTTCTAAATAATAAAAAATCTATTAAACAATAGACAGGAGTTAACGGTTTTTTGCTAACATCATCAAATTTTTGCATTGAATAATTAACATAAAAACAAACAAACAATAAAATAATTTTTAAATTCCATAGTCCTAATAAATAGTTTAAATGCCCTACAAAAAAAAGATAACCCTTTATGAAGTCGTCAAAAAACAAATGTTAGCGATTTACGACAGTTTTTATATACACAAAACCCTTTCAGAAAAAAATAAAAATAAAATAAAAAAATAAATAAATCTCCATAGACGCTTAACCAGACTAGACGCTTTAAATTTAGGCACCTCAACCTTACCCTGACTTGACATCCGTGAATGTAACTGAGATATTGATACAAATTATTAACACCTTATGCTCCTTTTCTTTAAACAATTGCTCTAGCTGTTACCATAGAAATTTTGATTTCACTAATTCATATGCTTATAAAATGCGTAAACCTCAGAAATAAGTTATTCCAAAAAAAAAAAAAATTTTCGCTTGAAGATGGAACAGAGCTTAGTACTTTAATTCAATTTAATTCAAATAATTATATTGAAGTTTTCGGCTCGTTTTGAAACATGAGAACTCTTATGTAGCGTGTTGGAATCATATTTTTAAATAAATAATTATATTTATGCTCTACTTTTGTATTGAGCACTATTTTTTTAAAATAATAACAAAAATACTAAAGAACTTTGGATTATTTACCTAACGAGTTCTTTCCTATTTTTTATATATTTTTCACATATATATATATATATCATCCTCTTTTATGGGTGGTAAGGTGAAGAGACAAACACATGGTTAGATGATTGTTTATATAAAACTTAAAATTCTGCTCAATTATCTCTTATTTTCTATTAAAGGTATTTCATATCAACTAGAGATGGTAAAATGGTGTAGAGCTCTTTTTTTTCTTTGAGAATGACAATACAATCAATCAAATTGCTTTTTTTTTTAATCATTTCATTACAAGCAAGGTGGGAATGCCACTAGTACGCAGGGGCTTACAGGGAGTGAAAGAGAAGACTGAGTATAGGGAGGATTGAGGAAAGGACAAAAGATGAACAGGATTCAAGAAGACAGAAGATGGCAATTGATGTTGCATTTAAAGTTTTGAAGATTGTAGTTATCAGGGAAGCAAGTAAACAGAAAGGAATTCCACAGGTGGGCAGTGTGGGAAAAGAAACTGATTGATTATAATCATGGATTTACCATCAAGTTTCCTGAAATCGTGGAGGGAAAACCACTTCATCTGCCACAGCCTGTTTGGTCCCTGTCCTTGTGTAGCAAATTGACTGCCATTATATATAGATATATGTGCGTGGGAGAATATAACATACAAATTTTTACATATCAAAACAATGTTAGGCAAATGAATGACAAATTGGAAAAATTCTGTGTAACATGTTTCATCATCTAGAAAGACTTCATTTTTTTTCAGTTTCAGTTTTTATTGATGGAATTGGAGGGGAGGGGGATGTAAAACGAGAGTGTTAGTTATAATTATGTTCCAAGAGAAAACACTGCAAATTATGGGAATGCTGAAATTTAAGTTTAATTTTTTTTTTTTATACATGTGTCTGGACATATAGTCCAGCTGATCTCTTTCAGTTTCCCTACAATTTTTTTAATTGTTTTTGTTTTTAAGTATCCTGTATTGTGGTAACAGAAGATCTGGTAAAGAGGGTAAAATGTTGTAAGAATCTGGACACAATTTTACCATGGATGATTTAGTAATCAAAGCACTTTCTATACATAAGTCAAAATTTCCATGATTCTAAAATTTAAAAAATAGAAAAAATAAGCAACGGTTTTGGCATACATGCTTTTATTTTAAGAAAGATAAAAAAAATAGCCAACTCAAACACACAAGATTTGTGCAGTTTATGGAGAAAGTAGTGTGAATAATCAAATGTGTCAAAAATGGTTTGTGATATTTTGTACTAGATATTTTGTACTGGACAATACTTTACAGTCAAGTAGACCTGTTGAGATTGAGGGCAATCATCTCTAATTATTACTTGAGAATAATCAATGTTATAGTCTACAGAAGGTAGACAAGTGTTAAAAGTCCATTATAACAGTTTGTGTATGTTAGTCACTTTGATGTGAGACTTCCACATAAGTGAAAAAAAAAGGATTTATTCACCAAATATTTATTTTATTCCTTTGGCTCAAAAACGATTTTAGCACCACTCAATAAAAAACAGAAACAATGACACATACAATTTTTACAGGAAATATACAGTTTACACAATAATTTAAATATCAAAAAACTTTATTCTCTCACAAAAGTGAATATTTTTGTCTATTCATAGATTTTATTTTTTTTTAAATTTTTAGCACAAAAATGATTTTGGCATTAAATAACCTAGAAAGGGTTGATATACTGTAAAACCAATCAATAAGTGAAGAATAAAAGTAGTTTTTTATAGAAATTTTCACAAGCAATAAAAATGGGATAATTTACAATGTAGAATGGAAAGAAATCACAGGATATGTGAAATAAACAATCACCAACCATGTCAAAAGCTGGTGTCTTCATCTAACCAAAGAAGGTGATGTTTTGTTTATGGTAAGATTGGAATTCCTTCTGGAGAAGCAAATAATTGTTTTAAGTTGTCATAACTTGTTGGAACTTCATTTCTTTAACTCACTTCGACATCCATGGCTCATATGACAAAAACAAACCTTAATTTCGTTTGGTTCTGCACACCCACTTTTTTCTATAACTATAGAAATTTTAATTTACATTGGAAATATTTTTTTATTTAAAAAATTTTTATTTCAAAATCTTTTTTTTTTATATATAACAATTAAAAAAACACTATTATAATTTCTTCTACAAAGGGGGACAAAAGTTTGATCCCTTCCATCGAGAACATTTTCTTCATTAAAATTTCTTGAACGCACAGGCTGATAGACATAATACACACTGTTTAAAATAAAAATGGGCTGTCTATTTCAAATACGAGTATCCACTATAATAACATTTAAATTAGTAAAGAAAAAGTTACTTCCCTTATTTCATATTTAAATAGTACTTGAATAAACTGAATTATACTGCACTTATGGATACATCATGTTGAAGCATCAGTTCCTGTTAAGCAATGTTGGGTCTAGTCAGTACTTAGATGGGTTACTGCTTGGGAATACCTGTAATCTTTGATGTGCAGTTGGTGTAATTGATAATAGCTCAGAATTGTTAATCAGAGAGCTGAGTTCCAGTTAGGTCCATGATATTTACTTTTGCACAAATACCATTGGGAAATATATGAATCCACTTCTTCCCCCTCTAGCTCTGGGTTAATTAGTAAGACTTCTGTCACTAAATCATTACCTTCAAAAGAAAAATTCTTACAAATGAAAAATATTTTATGGCTTTAAATAACTTGCAAAAGGTTGATAAGCCATAAAAAACAATCAACCAATATGAATTATATTGATATCTTCTGTCTTGATATTGTGAAGTTGGAAATATTTTTGTTTCAAATGCAACTAATCAGGGTTGATGCAAGGGTCTAGTGCTCCATCCATCTGAATCTATGATAGAGTCCACCTCTCCCCCAAATCTATGATATGATGCCCCCCCCCACTGTACTGCATCTCAATTTTTATAAGGTAGAAATTCATTTAAAATACAAATTTTATTGTAACTTAATTATGTACAATAAGGGATCATATGCAATATAGGTGAACAATTCAACTAGAAAAATTGAGAATAACTACAATGTATCTAAATACAAATTAGAGACATGTCATAATAAATCATTCCATCTTAAATAAATCAACAATGTTCTGTGGTAATTTTTAACCTCCACAGAAAAACTGCCCTTTTGAAACACCGTTTTTTGTTGGCACGATAGTTAAATTTTGACAATAATTTTTATTTCTAAGCAATTCAGGATTTTGACCAATACATGGGTTCAGGGTAGGTACAAAGGTCTTGTGTTCCTCCACCGAATCCAAGATATGCCACCCCCACTCTACTACATCTCAATTTTAGTATTCATATAAAATACAAATTTTATTGTAACCTAATTATGTACAATAATGGATCATAGTCAATATAGGGTGAACAATTCGACTAGAAAAATCAAAAAATAAATACAATTTATTTAAATATAAATTAGAGACATGTTTTAATAAATTATTCCATCTTAAATCAACAATGTTTTGTGGTAATTTTTGAACTTGAGATTTTTCTTTTTAAAACGTTGAATAATTTGAACACATCCAACATTATGGATAAAAAAATAGTGAATTTTAAAAAATGGTTTTTTTCAAGACTAGCATAAGCAAAACAAATTCATGGATTTGGACTCTGCCCCCACAAAAAAAATACAGTGATGTCAAATCCACAAAAATTTTTCATCCTTTAATAGTCAGTTGCACTTAGTTTAATTTATAATGTACATAAATGTAGGTAGAAAAAAAGCAAATGTTGATAACATAGCAATGGTCACAAAGCACTTCCCGGGCACCTAATCAGGCTTGGTGGTAGTACACAGCAGGCCCTGTAACTCATATTAGTTTAGACAATGAAGGAAATATTCAGAAGTGACAAACTTTAATGAAGATTTTAACTCAGCTTTTCATTCTGATTTTTTTTTTTTCTAACTCTGTATTTATTGACTTGATGAAAGGGAAATTTTAATTATTTTTTTGTGTGTGTGTGTGGGGGGGTATTTAAATTTATTTTTTATAATTAAAATATAATGAACTCTTTCTCTCTTGCTTTTTTTTTTGCTTGTTTTAACCCCCCAAATGAAAGAAAAATGGTGTTTCCCTAACAATATTAAGCATATCTATTGAATGGCTTCCATTGTTTTTGTCTTTTCATTTCAGGCTTTTGTGTCGATTGTTTCCAAGAATGTTCACATGATGGAGGAACACGTGAATAAAGCAGAAGCTAAAATGGGATCCTTGAGTGGAATTAAAAAAATGATTACTTCACTTGTCAGTCCGGTTAGTAAGAACCATTAGTCTTTATGTATTTTTTTATGTAAAGAGTAGAAATAGTCAAAATGTGTGTGTGTATGAGTAGAGGTGAGTATTTATGTACTGCTGCACTGATGAGACAAGTGCACCAATCTTGATGGTGACTATCAGGAATAGTTGCACTGGTAACCTATGTAACTAGGTGTTGGCCTCATTTAACCCTTTGGAAATTTTGTAACATTAAAACAAATTAAAGTAGATGAAAAGAATCCTGAAGAAAGGTTACATCAAGCAGAGATTGATTAGAGAAAGAACTAATTAAAAAAGTTAATTAGGAACTATGAAGGAATGGTGAAAACAAACACCTTGTAGATTAAATTAGCGTCTGATCCATGGTAGCATGGATCAGATGCTAATTTAACCTACAGGGTGGTCTAAAAGTCTTGTCACCCCTACATAATATAATTGTCTATTTCAAATGTCTGACACAAGCTCCTACAGTTTGGAAGAGAGTGTTAAGGTGACAAAACTTTCAGACCACTGGACTTGATCCTGATGACTAAAATTCATCCTATCTTACTCTGGTGAACCAAGCCTGGGGTTGACATGATTAATGCATTTTTTTTTTTTACAATGTTGTTCACCCCGTGCAAGCTCAAAGAGCCACTTGAAGTAGAGGGTTGTAGAGTAAGAGGCAACACCCCAAGCAAAGTGATAATGCCACCAAGATGCAAGGGGTTACTGGAAGGGAAAGAGAAGGAAAAGATTTTAAAAGGAACTGGAAACTCAATCCTAAACAGGAAACAAGGGATAAACCTCTATTCTTGTTCAGAAGACTGGGGAGGAGTGTGAACGGGACGAGAGGTGAACTTATCTATTCCTATTGAGGAAAAAACAGTAAATAAGTAGTAAATAAAATTTCAGAGTTTTAGGTGGAGTTGTTAGAAGTATAGAGTTGAAGTAGATTTTAAAAGAAACCAGAAAACCAATCATAAACAGGTAACAAGGGATAAACCTCTAATCCTGTTCAAAAGTCTGGGGAGGAGTGTGAACTAAACAATAGGTGAATCTATCTACTCATATTGAGGAAAAAATAAATAAATGAATAAATAGTGAAGAGAATTTCAGAGTTGAGGCTGAGACGTTAAAAGATAGAATTGAATTAGTCTATTGGATTGAATAAATCTAGCATTTGTGTGAAATAATTTAGTTAATTATTTCTACTGAGCAGGTAATTTTCAAAGAACAGTCATTTTCTCTGGTCAACCATCTTAAAAAGTTTCATCCTGTCATCTTAACTAACGTCTACTTTTGGGGGTCCAGGTTTGGTGGATTATTTTCTGCCCCTGCCTCTGTGTTGGAATGGGAGAATTAAAACACAACTACTTTTTTCTTAGATAAGATGTAACTCAATTGACCTAATGATTGGTTGATTTGTTTTTTACGGCTTATCAACCTGGTTAATTTAAATATTAGAAAATATTTTTAGATCGTAAACATTTTTTTTTTTGAGATAATAAATGTTTAGTGATACAACTTGCTTCCCTGTACTTTTTTTATAAATATTTTTATTAATACTTTCATGGTAATTGTTGTAATGAGGTCTTCGCTATGGTACCTAGACTTTATGAATTTAAGTGCAGTACTAGATTAGCAAGATGGTCTCACCAATTTACAGTTGAATTAGCTAGATGTAATTGTAAGTTCTATGCTAAGAGTTTCTTCTATTGCACTTCTCACTTGTGGAACACTCTTCTGCCTCCATGCTTTCCAGTTAACTTTGATCTTCAAAAATTTAAATGCAATGTCAATCATTATCTTCTGTCTTCCTGAGTAGTTGTCTATTGTTCTTGCTCCTTAATAATGTTTTTGTTTTCTAATTCTTTCCTACACAGTAACCCTTCTGTGTCTTAGTGGCTTTACTCCCTTGCATGGGGTAAATTTGATTAAAAAAAAAAATCTTAACCTCTTCAAATCTAAGATCAACCATTATCTTTTCAGCATATCCTTGTAAACTGCACATCTTAAGGCCTCCTCTTACATCCATATAACAATGTCATTTTGCAATTCTCTACATTGAGTGGCTCTTGGGCCTTTTATTAGGTGATCGATAGTAAAAGAAAAATTATAAGAAGGGTCAAGAAAGAGGAAGGCAAATTATCTATTTCAGGGATGTGCTTGAGATGATAAGCAATTAGTCTACTGTAAGAAACACTTTGTTAGGCCAACTATAAATACATGGGGGATAAAAAATTGCATGTTCAATATGTAAACAAAGATAGGAGCATACAAAACCATACAAAAAAAAGAAATACAAAAAAAAAGTTTCTGCTACAGACATTTATTCATTTTATGGTTATTGTAGTGAAACAAAGTTCTCTTTGTCCCTTAGGCATGTTCATTCTCTTTCTGGTTCAGAAGTTAGGGTAGATAAGTATAAGTATTATATTCATGGTTGAGCTCAAGTTAACCTTGTGCAGAGTTGGAACAACCAAAGGAAAGTTTCTATTTATTTAATTACTAGGAGATTTAAACATGGTTATGGGATGTCTGTTCTCTTTTTCTTGGTCTAGAAATTAGGGTAAATCAGTATAAGTATTGTTACTATAGTCACACTCAAGTCAGCCTTGCACTGAGTTGGAACAACCAAAGAGGAAGCTTGTCGTACTTCATAGGTTGAGGTTTTGGAAGAAATTTGTGAGTGTCATGTGTTGGAAAGTGGGAAGAGAGTTCAGTTGGATTGGGGAAACTAATATTTCCCAATATGAACGTAATTACCACATGGATCACATCTTAAAGCAAAGAGGAGAAATAAAGTGAGGCAGGAAATGTTTGCCTTTAATATAGGCTTCAACAACGCCACTTAGTGGCATTTGATAAAACCAAGTTGAGTAATCATATTTCCAGTTCTTTTACTCTTAGCATCATTGGAAAATGTATTGTCTTTTTTTATTATTTATTATTATTATTATTATTATATTTATCTGTTTTATTTCATTTTCCCACAAATGAACAAACACACGGATACAAGTAGTATACTGCGGTATCAGCATGAAATAGTACTAGAAGAGTCAACCTCTTTGATGTGTTAGCTGTTCATATCTTTATAATAACCAAAAGTTGTAGAATACTAAGTGTTGGGTCTTTATTCATTGTGTCCATAAATTGAAGCTATTCCATTTTAGTCAAAGAACCAAGAGGTTAAAGAGTCCTGTCATACCACAAAATCAAGGATATTTAATGTATTAGACAAGCTGCCAATTTTTGAGCTGTTGAAACCACTACTTCCAATTACAGGTATGGCAAATAATGGTTGCACTCCTGCACAAGTTCATACATATGCGCAGTTTTAGTTTACGGTAATAAAAAGGTTTGATTTGTAAAGGTACCTTACTTTCAGATATCATTCATTTATGATGTATTTAAAATTATATGTATACACTATATGTCATATATATAGATATATATCAGGATCATTTGAAGACAAGCCAAAATTGATCCTGAGACCTGGGAAACTGTTACTGCGAATCAGCCTTCTTGGTGTAAGACCATGGTGGTGGTGAGGGGTTAAGACTGTTAAACCCAGCTGCCGACATGATGAGGTTCTGTGATATGTTGTAAGAAGGGCCTGACTCACCCAACCAAATCCACTACCAACACTTCTCTGTGATTCCTTCTCATGACTCTTCAGGAGTAGGCTGGGCCTTCACAGCCAGCTCTGCCACTATCACAAGGGAGGAAGAAAGGAATGGGGAAAGAAAATGACAATTCCAATAATGGGATGTGAGTTAGTGCTCATGATGATACTATCTATGTATATCTAAATATAGTGCAAAGGTGTGTGTGTGAGTGTATCATTTGAAGGGTTATTAACCTTATATTAATTGAGAATTTTAAACTATGATACTAAATTTAAATATTAATGACATATCAAGGAGGCATGATGGAGTAATCGATAGTGGCTTGGATTGAGGAATAGGAGAGCCAAGATCAATTCCAGTCGAATCCATTACATTCACTTACGTGCTAATACCCTTGGGAAAGGTATGAATCTTCTTCTCCCTCCAGCTATGGATAAATAGCAGGACAGATCAAGTTTGAATTCCAGTCAAATCCATTACATTCATTTATGTGCTAATACCCTTGGGAAAGGTATGAATCTTCTTCTCCCCCCAGCTATGGGTAAATAGCAGGACAGACAGTTTGAATTCCAGTCAAATCCATTACATTCACTTATGTGCTAATACCCTTGGGAAAGGTATAAATTCTCTTCTTCTCCCTCCAGCTATGAGTAAATAGCAGGACATACCGAGTTCTAGAGCCTTGGATGGCGATTGGTGTACTGCAGAAAGAAATGGCAACCTACTGCAAGAAAAAATCTGCCTCGTCAGTCATGTATCAAAAAATATGTGATTGTCTAAGCGTGTGTCACGCATGGCACATAACTAACTGAATGACATATCAATTAAAATAGAAAAGAGTTTGCAAGCTTTATTTCATTTCTTTCTTTTACTTATCTTAATAAAGTACCTTATACAGATTAGTTTTTTGTGGGCAACATTTAAAAAAATAACATTAAATCAATTTTCAAACTTAACCAATTTAAGCACAGAACTAGATTAGCTGCAAGGTCTTATCATTTGAAATGGCCAGATGTAACTGTAAGTTCTGTGCTAAAACTTTATTCCTTGCTTGTAGAACTGTGTTCCTGCCTCTTGCTTTCCAGTCAATTTTGATCTTCAAATATTTAAATCATCTCTCTTTTTAATTCCTGCTATTTTATTCTCTCGCCTTTCTTTTTCCATATTCTCTTACACTGAGTAACTCTTTGCATCTTAATGGCTTTATTGCATTACTTGGGGTGAAATGATTGAAAACAGAAAAAAAAATCATGCATAAATTCTTTTCTTACCATATTTCCCTTCATACAAGGTACATTTTTCCCACCCTAGTGGATGTGCGGGTGGTATAATGAAAAATTGGAGAGCTAAGTTCGAATTATAGTCATGATACTTACATTCACTTATGTGCAAATATCCTTGGGAAAGGTACAAATCCATCTCTCCCCCAAGCTATGGGTTAAATAGTGGAACTTGTATCTGGAACAATTATTGTTATTCTTAAAGAAATTTGTTAATGCAATATTCACTCTAAAAATAATTATTCTTACAATCTCAAATATGTTTTGACTTTAAATAACTCAGAAATGGTTGATAAAGTCAATCAATCCCCAACTCTAAAAACTTCCCTAGAAATCACCCAACATCCTAAGGCAGAGGTTACTAGAACTAGACTAACCCTTAAACATCACTGTTTGGTACACTGGTCCCCTGAATAAAATATATATGATTAAAAATGTTAAAATTATTAAAAATGTTTAAATTATAAATAAAAATCAAATGATCAGAAATATTTCAATTATAATTAAAAATCAAATATATAATTAAAAATGATTAAATTATAATTAAAAATCAAATATATGATTAAAAATGTTTAAATTATAATTAAAAATCAAAATCATGTTTTAAAAAAAACCCCAAAAACCTAATATATAAAGATGGATGAATCATGAATATTGTGTTTTTTCCATAAATATTCCTTGCTAAATTATCACTGCCAGGAAATCTGTTATGTTATTTTATCATTGAACTTGATCTGGAAAAGCTAAAATCAATAAATATGTAACACAAAAAACCAGCTCCATGCTTTAAATCTTACTCTGCATTCTCTTTGCAAAAAAAAAAACAAAAGCAATGTTTACTTCTCAATAGTTTACTTCTATAAGTATAGATATGTATTGAAGGTGCAGAATGTAGATATATATAAATATTTAAACATATATTGTTAAATATAACGGACAATGAATGTCTATTATATTTGATCATGAGCTGTTCTAAACTTTATACAGTTGCTTTAATTTTGGGTGAAAATAAAGACAAAAATTGTCCAACATTTGGATATTTTTTATTAAGCTGTGATACACTTTGAAAGTGCAGAGTCAGCCCAATGGTTACCTGAACAGGAAATGACATTAGTGAATCAAGTTCAATTTCCAGCCAAGTTAATTTGGTGTTCACTTCACTTAACTCTGATCTCCTTAGGAAAGGCTTGGCTTCACCTATTCCAATAAGACAGATCAAGGATTACACATGCTACTGTTACCATATAACTCAGTATAATTTGCTACATGCTACCTGGAGAGGCAGTGTATCCATCAAGTACTTCCATTTGTCTGTGGAATGACATCTGAAAGATCAACTGTGTTATCCGGTTGATTCTACTGAATCATAAGATAAGTTGGTAGTGTAATCCATTGATTTTTTACAGGTTATCAACCCTTTGTGGGTTATTTAGAACAGAAACATATATTGGATTGTAAGAATTTTTTTTTTTTATATTTTTTGAGAATAACAATGATTTTTTTCCAGTTACAAGTTTTGTTAGTTAACCCATAGTTGGGAGGGACGAGATGAATTCATACCTTTCCCAAGTATGTAAAAGAATGTTTGCTAGTATAAATCTTTTGGGCACGTAATGAGGAAAGAGGGTTTGGAAAATTTGACACTCACAGAACATTGAAGGCAAGTGGGACAGAAGAAAATGGTGAGTTACCTAATTGTGTAAACGGATGGCACAACATGGATTAGCAGGGAAAGCAAAAACACGACATCCTGAAGAGAGACAGAATATAGAAAAGAGCAATGATCACTCACATCCTGAAAGGATATGTTTTTACACTGAAAAAAAAAATAACAAGCTCAAATAATTTTAAAACAGCTGAGGAAAGTTATTAAAAATTAAAAGCATATTTGTTTAGGGACTAATATTTCATTAAAAAAGTTTTTTTTTTCTTTTTTTCTTTCTTTTTATTTTTTTTTTTAATTATTTCACCCCAAGCAAGGCAATAAAGCCACTAAGATGCAAGGGCTTACTGGGAATAAAAATATTGTTAATACTGTTAGTCTCTTAATTCACCAATTAATTTCAATTTCTTGTTTGGAATTGGTCTTTTGAACAAAAGTAGAGGTTTATCTCTTGATTCCTGTTTAGGATTGGGTTTCCAGTTCCTTTTAAAATCTTTTCATTCTCTTTCACTCCTAGTAATCCCTTGCATCTTAGTGGCATTATTACCTTGCTTGGGGTGAAATGATTAAAAAAATTGTGAAAACCAGTTGTATGTTTCAAAGTTTTATTTTCTTGTTTTACTCCTTACATGAGTGCCATGGCAAGAAATTTTCCTTAGATTTTTTTTTCATTTGTTTTGATAATGCTCTTGTGAAAGGAGTGAAATGTCAACAAGAAAATAAAAAAATTAAAACATCCAACTCATTCAATATATCAATTTGTTTCTTTGTTAATGAAGTACAAGGGGGTGCTGAAAAGTTCCCAATCTGGTCCACATCTAAAAAATCTTACCAAATGAGATGTAGCAAATTCTGATACAAACAATCTTTATTGCATGAAGTTGTTGTTTGTCAGTAGTTTGTAGTGGAAGGAGTTACAACTTGTTGTTGATGAGGGTGAAGAATTTCAAAGTAAGTGAATTAAACATTTTCGAAAGGAATAAATTTCAACATGTGAAGAATTTTACAAGTATATTTTTGCATAAAGAATAACATAATTCAAAAAGACAAAATATATACTTGCATATATGCAGATAGCTGAAAAGAAAAAAACATTTATAGGCTCTGCTGCTAGAAAACGTATGTGTATGTCTTTGTGAGACGTGTCACGTGGCTGGCTGAAATTGAGAAGATGGCCTGCCGAGTGAGAAACTCTTCCATGGAGGAAAGAAATCCTATTGTTTTTGCTACTACATTCTAAAGCAAAAGAGAGAAAGATGGAATAAGTCCTTTCCTTTTACACTGCTGAATACCGCACCATCTAGCAGGCATCCTGATAGACAAGCTGGGAACCATCCCCACAGACCAAACATCAGATTTTATTTTCGAAGGGCTTCTTGGTTGAGAGTAGAACTCTTCAGCACTCCCTTGTTGTCATTATTATCCAGCATAAATTGTTTCAGAATGAGATTTTTTACTTTTGGTTGTTTTATTACATAATTATAAATCTGTATTCTTTACTGTTCATTACAAATAGACTTTTTGTGACCTTTATTAATTTTTCTCTCATTTTTCACAGAAACACAGTGCAGCTCGGTCAAGAACCAATTCAAGAACAGATAACTTTCAACCTCCAGAAATCTTTAGCACTTCGGAATATTTTCCAAAGCAACCTTAATGGCAGCTGCAATCAATGTACACTAAATCCTTGCATTTTTATTGAAGCCTTCTACAATTAAGTCTGATTTTGTAAAAAAAAAAAAAAAAAAAAAAATATTGGGAGGGTGGGAAAGATTCGTCCTTTTGTCAAATCGTTTCATATCTGAGTAAGATGATTTGATGATCAGCATCAGACTAAAATGTCTCCATCTTCAAAGTGACTAATATTTTAAATTTTTTTTTCCCCTAATTAATTTGCCCTAAACCAACTTTTCTTTTAACTTTCATATTTTGTCTGCAATGTTCTTTTATAAAAATAGGAAAATGTCTAGATTCTTTTTATATATATATATTGGCTATTATCATTTCTTTTTTTCTAGTGTTTTGTCATGGGACATACAATTTATGAAAGTATTGTGAACTGCTAATAATGAATCTGAAATCAAGTGATTTTTTTTCCTTTTTATAAATAAAATCTATTAATTCTGATTTTTATATGTATCATTAGTCTGGTCTCAAAGATTTTAAAAGTGATCCTCAAAAACAAGAACATTCTTGGAAGAAAGTATTATTTACAAGGCAAGAACTTATCCAATCCCAGCATTAATAAAAATTCAAAGAAATCTATCTGCCTAGATTATTTTGAAAACCAAATATTAAAGCAAATGTTTCATTAAATTTCATGCTCTGCAAAATGTTTTAAGATGTCTTAAATACCCAAGGATATTGTATTTGTTCAGTTGTGATACTTAACAAGATCTCATAAATCTCAGGACATGGTATTTATTTATCTGAGATAATTGACAAGATCTCATTGTAGATCTCAGAGGAGGGGGTATTTATTTATCTGAAATAATTGACAAGATTTCATTGTAAATCTCAGGGGAGATGGTATTTATTTATCTGAAATAATCAGCATATATCTTTTGCTGAGATATTCAACAAGGTCTCATTGTAAACCTCAGAGGAGATGGCATTTGTTTAGATGTGATAATCGACAGGCTCTAATTGTAAATTTTGGATTAGATGGTATTTATTTAGGTGAGATAATCAACAAGCTCTCTTTGTAAATATCAGAGAAGATGGTATTTATTTAGCTGGGATAATCAACAAGATCTCATTGTAAATTTCAGAGAAGATGGTATTTATAAACAGAGGAGTTGGTACATGTTTCACTGAGGTAGTTGACAAGATCTCATTGTAAATATCTGAGGAGATGGTATGTGTTTCATTGAGATAATCACCAAGATCTCATTATAAAACTATGATAATCAACAATTTAACTATGATAATCAGCAAATTCTAATTGTAGATTTTGGGGGGAAGGGTAGATGGTACTTGTTTTCCATAATATTCGACAATCTCTCATTGGAAATCTCAGAGGAGATAGTATTTATTCTGTTGAGATAATCAACATGTTCTCATTGTAAATCTCAGATATGGTGTGTATTTCTCTGTGATAATTGACAAGTATTCATTGTAAATCTTAGAGGAGATGGTATTTATTTAGCTGAGATAATCAATAAGCTCTCATAAATCTTGTGAGATGGTATTTGTTTTGCTGAGAGAATTGGCAAGCTCTTTGTAAATCTCAGAGGAAATGGTATTTGTTTCACTAAGATATTCAACAAGCTCTCCTTGTAAATCTCAAAGGAGATAATATTTATTTAGCTGGAATCATCGACAAGTTCTCATTGTAAATCTGAGGAGATAGTATGTGTTTAGCTGTGATAAACAACAAGCTCTAATTGTAAATTTTGGAGTTGATGGTATTTATTTTGGTGAGATAATTAACAAGTTCACATTATAAATCACAGAAGAGATGGTATTTGTTTAGCTGAGATAAATGACAAGCTCTCTTTGTAAATCTTGAAAGAAGGTATTTATGTAATAGATAATTGACACAATCTCATTGTAAATCTCAGGGAAAATGGTATTTATTTAGCTCAGGTAATCAACAGGCTCTCATTGTAAAACTCATATATGGTGTGTTTTGCTATGAAATCACAGAGGAGATGGTATTTTCTTTCCTGAGATAATTGACAAGCTCTCTTTCTAAATCTCAGAGGAGATGGTATTTGCTTTGCTGACATAATTGACAAACTCTCTTTTTAAATCTCAGAGGAGATAGTATTTGCTTTGTCAAGATAGTCAACAATCTCTCATTGTAAATATCAGAGGAGATGGTATATGTATTTCACTGCAATAATCAACAACACTCATTGTAAATCTCAGAGGAGGATGTATTTATTTTGCTGAGATAATCAACAAGCTCTTGTAAGTTTCAGAGGAGTTGGTGGGACATTCAGATACACCACAGTACTAATGTAGTAATTAATGATCCAACATCAGTGAAAATATTGTGCCATTCAATGATTTGCTTTGTCTGACCCACAGACCTCAGATTGCTTAAAGACTTAAAAGCACATTTACTGTTTGATGAAAAAATTTCAGCAATATTTCAAACTTAAAGTAACTTAAAGTTTCAGATCAGATTAATTATAATTTAAAATCAGCTAATATTCCTCAAATAAAGTTTCAGAAAAGTATGTTTTATTTTTGCAAGATTTTTAAAACCAAGAACTAACTTGTGTTTACAAATGTCTCAAAGATGGACGACTTTAACCATATTACTGAAAAAATGAAAATGGATTCCAATCAATATAGTTTCTGTTTGAAATACACCAAAGTATTTTGCTTACTGAAAACAGTAAATTTAATCCTTTAGCTTTCAATAAAAAGCTAAAATAAAAGCTTCAAGAAAGATTTTTCATTTTAAAAAATTAATTTAAACCTTAGGCATTGCGATTTTTGTGGAGGTACTTACAGTACTGAAGCAGGCACAACTTTGGAATATAGTCATTATTTAATAAGCATTAGGTTGTTTTAAAGTACCTGTTTTTTTTTCTAAATGATCAGAATTACTGAATCCATCTCAAATCTGGAATATAGTTATTGAAATCTTTGATGTTGCAACATTGTTATACCATTAAATTTGTCTCTTCGCCATTTGTTATGTTTCAATTTGCAAACCAATTCCTTAGTGCAACGAGTCACTTCTTGCCGGCTCTCGACAACTCTGACCTTTTGCCAGGCAAAGCTGAATGAAGAATTATTTAGTCAATATAGAATATGAAAAAAAAAATGGCAAAGATCAAAACAGAAATTTATGAATATTTATTGCACTAAGTGACATTGATTTTACAAAAATGTAAATGGATCAACCACAATGGAAATGAAAAAAGGCAAGTGGTCTGAGGAAGAAATGCTTGAAATACAGTCAAATCCCATTTCACTGCTTGTGCTTTCATCTGCTTTACAGATTAGCTACAGGTATATTTTATGATGGTGACATGTTTGTTTTTATTTGGGATTTGCCTGAAATCACTCTCTGACTGCCCATACCAGATTAGAAAATATAAAAACCTGGATTTGTATAATAGCACAATGACCAGAAATAATTATTTGTTTTCATTTTGGCTTTTTTTTTTATATTATAGATTATAAGCACTCCAGATTACTACTATATATATATATATATATATATATATATATATATATATATATAAAAAGGTGTTTTAGACAGCAAAATTTTTTTTCTAACAGGTTTTATTGAATAATAATGCCAAGTTCTGTGTATACAATTTTTTTTTTTTAAACCTTTTTTTTGCAAATTTCTAAATTAGTTGTTTTATATAATCATTAAAACTAATCAAAGTTAATTTTTGTTTATTTTTTTTTCCTCAAGTACTTTTGAATATTGCTACATTCGTTTTTAAGGATTTTTTTTTGTCTGTATGGAACTGTTTTTGATTAATTTTGGTGTTCCTTCATTTGCTAGAACAATTTTCAAGTTATTCAATGTGACATAATTTACAAAAATCAAGTTAAAATTTTACTTTTTTTAATGCACACTTCAATGTACAATCCACCATGGAGAAAGATACCTTATTCAATGTAGGATACTTCTCTTGTATTAGAATGGTTTTCAGAATTCAAAAACTACTTGAGAAAATAACTTTGGTAAGTTTAGCGATTATATAAAACAACTAATTTGAAAAAGTTAAAAAAAAATGGATAGACAGAACTTGTTGATATTCAACAAAATTTTTTTGAAATTATATATACATACATACATATATATATATATATATATATATATATATAATTAAATATTTAAAATAAAAGTTAATAAGGGTCAGAGATTGCTATGTAAATGTGTTGTAAATTGATCTCCCTATGGAAATCAAAACAAAATATGCTCAGTAATGTGATTTCTTAAAGTGTGAAAAATGAACAAATTTTTTAAAATTTGTAATCTGGAGATTTGTGTTTTTTTTCAGATATTTCTATCAATTAATCCCTCCAGATTATGAATATCAAAATATTTATACATTTTAAGAAATTTTTGGTTGATTGATTTGTTTTCTACACTTTATCATTCTTTTGTAGGTTATTTAAAGCCAGAAAATATTTTTGAATTGTAAAAAGATTTTTTTAGATAATAATGGTTTCAGTGATACAAGTCTTACTAATTAATTAACCCATAGCTGTGGGGAGAAGAGGTGGATTAATACCTTTCCCCAGGGTATTTCGGTGTAAGTGAATATAATGAACACAACTGGAATTGGAAGTTGGCTCTCCAATTAACAATCCCAAGTCATTATCCATTATGCCACTTGCACATCCAGGCTTACAGCACCTGGTATTACCAAGCGGGTACCCATCTAAATACTGACCAGGTTCAACATTACTTAACTTTCATGATTGTACAGTAACCAATGTTTCAATATGATATGGCTTAAGCCAAATTTTAAGAAAACACATCATATAAGCATATTTCTTTTGGTTTATGCAGTGGGGGTGATCAACATACCATGAATTTATATAGCAAAATGAACTGCCTATTGACTTTTATGACATTAGTTTTTTATTTTTTTGATATTTGTAATCTAGAAGGTTAATATATAGTGATATTTATAAAAAAGATTTTGGAAAAAGGGACTATTTCTGGTCATA